AGGTAACACACTATCTTGGATAGAAAAGTAAGACAAAGGGAACTCCTCACAGTTTGAGGGAGGGATGTAGGGGGCTTTGAGAGTGTGGAGGTTCCTCTAAAGTTGGTTTCCCAAAGAAAAAAGACAAAAACTACATTAAGGAATTAATTTTACCACTAAGAGCAAAGTCTGTACCCAGAGAACATAGCTAGAGTTCTATGTGGGCTCAAGAATAAAATAGCAATGCCTCAACTGGGGACTTTGTTTGCAATGCCTTTCATTTGCCTACATTTTTAAGAGTTCGAGTTTCCCTATGTGGAATTTGGCTACCATTTTAAAGATTGTAAAACTATTGATGGACATGGTTTCTTGTTCGAGTGTTTTATCTGCCCCAACTAATTTATTGGAAGAAGTACCATGGAAAAGCAGATTGTCATGCGGATTGTATGAGTGACTTAAAAATGGTGGTCTTGCAGTACTTTTGTTGGAGAAGTACCTCTTTATAATAGGGGACTTCTCATTATATTTTTATTTAGAAACGTTGGGGCTTTCTCTTCAAATGCATCTATGCTATGTGGTTTAGTTTCAAGTTGACATTATGGGTCATACTTTTCAGGTTGATGTCAATAGTGAGTCCATTGAAGTGATGCAAATTACTTGGGAGGAGGTGTAGATGAAAATTTAATAGCATGACAAAATAATAATTTATAAATTATTAAGGGTTCATGAGGGAGGGGGAAGTGAGGAGGGAAGGGGATAAAATGAGGAGCCAATGCCAAGGGCTTAAGTGGAGAGCAGGTGTTTTGAGAATGATGAGGGCAATGAATGTACAAATGTGCTTTACACAATTGATGTATGTATGGATTATGATATGAGTTGTATGAGTCCCCAATAAAATGATTTAAAATAAGAAAATTTTATAGCAGAAAAAAATACCCAAAACAAAACAATAAATAGATTTAGGTAGAAAAGAATTACCACCTAATCATTTTTTAAGTTATTGCTCCTTACTTAATGATTTACACCTCATGATATTCAAACAACAACAACAAAACATAACACGTTCCCACATATTATCTCATGCCATGATGATCAGAACAATATCGATTAAACTTTGATGTTTTAAAAAGTAGAGCTGTGATCTCCAGCAAAATTAGGCAGGGTCACCCATCCAGACTTTGGTTTGTCGGGACACGACAGTAGCCGTGGCTTCAATGAATTGAAGAGTGCGACCTTCAGGTCGCTTCATCCGGAGTGCTGTCAAAGGAAGCCCCATGGGTCGCAGTGAAAATTGAAAGACAGTTGCGTCATTTACAAAAAATTAATCCGGAAAACTAAACTTATTAAAAGAAAGCCAAGTTGGCCGATGAAGAGCTCATGAAAGAACATACCATAAATTGTATTTGTTTGTTGTGTTAGTTTTTTTTTACTATTATTTTTTTATTAAGATACTGCTTTTCCTCTTCCCCTGCCATGTAAGATTGCAGTGATTGCTTTTAAAACCCTTAACATTCCATTTAGCTGTATGTGTATGTGTGTGTGCCCTTCAAAATTACTTAATCCGGAGCTAATACAGATAAAATATCATCCCATAGTCCAATCACAGCAAGCAGTATTGTACAATTGCTACCACAATCTGTTTCAGAACATTTTCTTCCTCCTTGAACTCCTTGAAGTCAGTCCTCCTGTCCTCTCCTCTCTCCCACTGTATCCTCCCCCCGCAACCCCAAACCTGTTGCCTCTATAGGTTCATCTAGACTGGGTTTCATATATAAAAAAACAGAAAAACATATTTTAAAACTCAAGAGAGCTACTCACAATGACAAAATACATCAGAGATAAATCCCAATATAAAAGAGAGAGAGAGAGAGAGAGAGAGAGAGAGAGAGAGAGAGAGAAACAAGATAAGATCCCACAAGTTTCAGAATAGGGATCAAGTGACAAAGTTTTAACCGTTCAATAGGTTTATCATTTGATCTCCTATAGTCATTTCTCATATACTCTCTGCTTGGCAATCAGTTTATTTCCATACCTCCATTAGAGATTGATTTTTAGAAGGCAAGGGGAAAAAAGCTTTGACGCCATCATTTTAAATCCCAGCAAGGGTATACTCCATTTGAAGAAAGGGATGGGATGTCGATTAAAAGGTAAATGAAAGTAATACAGTTGACTGTTCAGCCTCTCCTATTCCTGAAGCCTTCTACGCCACAATACACCCTTGAAAACGTGGAAGTCCTTTTCTGCAAGGGAATGAGCTGAGGTGTCAATCTGACAATCTTCGCTCACTCTTCATCCACTCTCAATTTTGAGCCGATGACCCTGCCTCTGTGAGCCTGGCCCTCCAAGCAGAGAAGGATGATAATAATGTCCATGCTGGCAGCTTTGGTTAAAGCAGATTGAAGAAATACATGTCTGAGCACATGGACGAGATCCTAGATGTTGAGTCAAAGTACTCATGTTGAGCATCTGAAGTGTGCTTGTTCTGTCTGACGTGCTCTCTACGTATTTGGGCAGAAAGGGTCCATTCATTTGCATAATCCTCAAAATAATCATATGAGGCAGGTGGTAGTTTCTGCTTCTTTCTAGTGATTAGAGAATGAGATCCTTGCTAGTTGTATAACTTTACAAAAATCAAATTTTCAAAAAGTCATCGTGTTAGACCTGGTTGACTAGAGAAATCCAGAGACACTCATATATGTGTGAGAGAGAGCTTTATATCAAAGAGCAATTGTATATTGAGAAAACATCCCAGCCCAGTCCAGAACAAGTGCGTAAGTCCTATATTATCCTATATAAGTCCAATACTAGTCCACAAATCCTTCTTCAGACTCATGCTGCACATGCAATGATGCAGGAATATCAGAGGCCAGTGGGTGCAAAGTCTTGTGAATCCAGTGGCAGTGGAAGCATCTCAGCACTGGTGCAGATCTCCACGTGGCTCTTCCAGGTCTCCAAGTGTGACTCTTCAACAGGAAAGGGAAGCAGAGAGAGAAATCCTGTGGCCTGCCTCCCGGGAGAAAGAGAGGAAGTTCCCAGAATCCTCATGAGAAGGCCATGCCCTCAAGTGGGCATCATCAGGCTGTGACCCGATTGACAGGCTAGATTCCATGCCTACACTTTTCTACCAAGTTAACATGAAATTATGTAGCTGTCATAGTCATGTATACATCAAAGTGAGGAGTCTGAGTTATAAAGAAAAAAGTAAATAAATAAACGTCATATCCTTATTTAATGCTCTATACTCTCACTGTTGTAGGTCAGTTTTATTGTTCCTAAAGGCAAATCCAGCTTCTGATGATCTCTTGGCATCTATCACTCTTCTCTTGGCTCTCTCTGCCTATAATTATAAAAACAGAAGCCAAACACTTTACCAATTAGAATAATATTTTAGGGCCAGGTAAAGAAGATTCTATCCCTTCTTGGATAAGGTAATAAAAGAATAGCTTCCACTTAAAAAGTATACTTTCGAGAGCAAGGATCTTCAAGGATCGTGAATCTGTGAATAAAATACTTTTGGAGATTACAGTCTTTAAATTATTTGAAGGAAATTATATCTACATGTATGTGCTACTCAGGAGCCCTGGTTGCATGGTGGTTACATGTTGAGTGGCTAAGTCCCAAGTTGGCAGTTTGAGAGCACCAGGTCCTCTGTGAGAGAACGACGTGGTTTGCACTTCTGGAAAGATGTAGCCTCAGAAACCCACAAAGGAAAGGGAGTTCTACCATGCCGTATACGGTCACTGTGATGGCATTGAGTTTGATATTTGCTTTTGTATGTGCTACTTTATAAATTTATGATCTTTGTTGTAAAAATCGCACACTAACAAGCCAAAGCTATAAATAAGAATAGAAAGTCAAATATTTCTTTCCTAGACTATAATGAACATAACCTATTTTCACAACTAGGCTAGTAAATAGAATCCTGCTGGGGAATAGGTAGCTAGGTGCATAAAGCAATTGACCCAACCATCTTATACACTGAATAACCTCTCTTGAAAATGCAGATTTCTGATTGGGTTAGAAATTGAGGAAAGAGACACTAATGGCTTGTGTTACCACGTGACAACAAATGAGAGACGTTAAACACTAGCTGGTTTCTTTAGGCAAACCTCACACTCTACAAATATAGACTACAAAGATGGATCATCAAGCTCCATTAGGTTGATTCCATTTGTCTTTATCTGCATGTCTCCTGTAGAAATTTTAGTTTCAAAACCCAAGATAGACAAAACTCGTTTTCCTCCCTTTACTATTAAATTTAATAATCAAAGGCATTTTGAGCAATACTTTGTAAATAATTTCTTTAATTTATAATGAAACTAAGCACACCGATTTTTCATTGAGGCTCTTTGGTTTGCTCCGTGACTACTGATGTCTCAATCTGCAGCGTTTTACCTGCTGGGAGATAAATAAATAAAGAAATAAGAAATGAATGAAATTCAAATAAAATTCATCCACATCCTTTGAAAGACAAATGCCATTAAAAAAGATAATTTGTTATTATTTTAATTTGACTTAGGTAAGTCTGTCTCTTATCACTCTATGTGAAGAGAATTAGCATTTAAATTGTGAGTCTTCCTACTTGATGGTATAAGAAAAATTTCCATTTAATTCTCTTGTAGACTATTAACAATTAGTTTAGCAGCTTAAGTTATTGTAGCACAATATACACTTTGTAAGTGAATTTTGCTATAGGCAACATAATTTTATTAACACTGATTAACATTTGATTTATAATTTTCAACAGAATGGGGTTCTTATCAATTTCTTAACTCCTCGACCTACTTGCTTGAAAAATGAATAACAGAAAAGATGCCTTTCCTTAGAGATTATGCCTCGACATGTTCAAATTGATCAAATGTTCCAGTGCATTAAACATGTGTGTTACTTATTTAATGTATAGGGTGGCACAGATAATTAACTATGAACTCATTAGGATTTTCTTTGCTGTGGCAGTTGTATTTACCTACAGCCGATTAATGAATATGTCAAATCTTCCCTTTTCTCTTCTGTTGTTTCAGATTAGCCTTGAGCGGAATTTGACAAAAGATGCTACAACATTTTTATCTCTGGAAATGTTTGGCTTTGGGGATTATCCTTGGCTCTTTCTTCACAGTCTGCTTGGGCCAGTACGATGACGGTAAGGGGGTTTTTATTCTGAACTTCGGCTTGAACTAAGATTCCCATTATTAAATAGAAAACACAACACAAGCTGAAAATCAATAATGGTGGCTGTAGTTCACTTTACAAGTTAGTAGCTCTATATAATAATTTGGCTTGGTTAAAATAATTTTACAAAATTAACATCAGTAGCAAAAAAAGGTAATTTTATAAAAAATAGCAAAGAGGCACTTTGTTTCTTAATGAGGATTGCAGCCCCTTGGAAAATTCTACAAAAGGTGTCTGTTTAAATGTTTACCCACCGAATGCCTGATGTCTATGGAAAAAATGAAGTTCCATTGATGAACTTTTGAAAAACACAAACAAAATCTCAAATAAACCTTAGCAACACAAACTTCCCTGAAGTATATGAAAAGATGCCTAAAGAGGTCAAAAACACTAAAGGATTTTATTATTGGCAGTTCACTTGGGCATTACATTGTTTCTGTCATTATTTAATTTGGAAACTTTGAAAAACAAAATGTAAAAGCCTGGGCATCAGAGGTCACATATCATCTATAATAGTATGTTGGTTAATTAGGAAAGATATATTAGTTGTCAGGCTCCTTAGGCACCGTTCTACACATTACATCTGCAGTGGTCCAGGTGTGCCTGTTTTAGCGATCTCAGGATTGGGGGCACCTTTTATGTAATTTCAAACCACAGAATCAGACTCAGAAGAGCCAGCATATTCTTACTTGAACAACAATCAAAACAATAAGGCAAAGTTCTCATCTCTAGATTTGCTTTTCAAGGAAACAGATATTTCTTTTAAGTATATTTTTTAATTTAAAATTTGCTCCATTTTTAAGGTATAGAGGAGAAAAAACCCCAGCTCTTCACCTTACTTTGTTGCCTTGTTATCTAGTTGCTCTTAAGGACAGTGGGGAATACAATTTTCTTTTGTACTTTGCTTGGCTGAAATGATTGAACTGAAGATAGATGAGTTAATTTGACTTGATACCAAACAGTATTAAATTCTGTGTATATTAGGAGATTCTAAATTCTCAGTAGTTAGGAGGATATGTCCCTTTGGGGAATTTCAGAATAATTCACAATAATAACTATTTTCCTAAAGTCAACAGCCTAATCCCCAGAATGGTCCTGCTAATGAGCTCAATGTTTACTTCTTGTGTGTCTGAATTTAATGTGAATACTTATGCCATTTATGAAAATTGTGAATCTCCAGTCTAAAAATAAAGAAACCTGAAATGATAAATAGTTGCTCCAGTGAAGCAAAAAAAAAGGCGAAGAAAAAAATCGATGTTAAAAACAGCATGACTTTACACTTCAGGAGCGTATTTTAAGTTATGCAACACGAAGAGACGATAAATCAGTGGATTGGTTTTTATGCCACAAGACATCCTTTTTTAATAGTATGGACTGTGAGGAAGCATTATTTTTTAATATTCACACTAAAAATGGAAACATTCACTGTCATTCCTCACATTCGACATTCACAAACCCTGCCTTTTCTAACAATATCATTTATCAGAGGAAATCTCTGCCAGTTTAACCTGTCATGTCATAGGCCGCCTTCTTAAATAAGCCACTACAGCAGTTGGTCCTGCATAAATGGAGTCACATGCCTGTAAAAGTACAATTAGGTTAGGAATGCAGACTAATTTTGAAGCCAGTGGAACAGCACACCTGTCAAGTGATTATGTACAATAAGCGCACCCCCTAAAATACTATAGTCATGGGTGAGTCCCCCTACAGCCTCAGTTAGGAAACCTCCTGAGCTATCTCTTTCTGGAAATGATTGAATTTGTAGATATGATTAAAAAAATAGGGCATGTAGTATAAAAACTAAGGTTTTATATAATGTTATATGGAGATCTCATAATTTTAAAATGCTTATGAGCATGTTTCTTTCATATCTGAAGCATCAGAGGGGCTCTGTTTCCTTAGATCTCTCCCACATCCTTACTTCTTTCTGGGATCATCCAATCAGAAAGTCTTTGACGTTTGTACTTAGTTGTTCAGTTATATCTGACTTAAAAATTATTTTCAAAGTTGATGTTTTCAATGAGATAATTATTAGACAATACTATATAAGATATAGAGAGGACATGGAAAATATAAATAACATGAAATAAGAATAAACTGAGATGTGTAATATGAATTTTAAAGCAATTTATATATCCAAACATTATGAACTTGTAACAATGTAGTTGAACAGAAGAAAGTATTATTAACATTCATAAACATGAATTAAAAGTGTGAGACAAAAAAGAAATATGGTACTTTGTCATAGATAACTTACTGAAGTCAGAAAAATAATAATAAAGGAGAAAATTATTTTAGCATTATTCACATAAAATTCTAGCTTGCTTATACTAAGGAAAAATAAACTTCTGGACTTTTAATTAAGAACACCTTCATAAACTTCTGTGTGCATTTTCTTAGTTAGGCATAAGAAGATAGAGGGAAATGGAAGATACATTTTGTTGAATATTATTTCTGCAATGAAATATCTGTATTGGGCAAAGATGTGGCATCTCATCCTGCGATGAAATTATGGCTTTGTTGGTGTTTGAGGTTGTAAATATATATGTCATATGTTTATAAATACACGTACATATATATAATATATACATACACATGCATATATACATACGCACTTATAAATGTTCATGGAAATGTATTATCTTTTAATTCCATTTTTTCACAAATTTAGGAATTTTTAGCATACACACATGCCCACACACATATACATACACACATAGACAAGGTACTGTTATAGGCCATCCATCCAGTTCCTGCTCAGCAGTAATATGTACACCACAATGAAACACTGTCTGGTCCTATACCATTCTCACAAATTTTGTTGTGCTTGTTCACCTACTGTGTCAATACATCTCATTGAGAGTCTCCACCTTGTTGTTGTTGTTTTAGCCTCCTTTACCAGATGTATGTCAGATGAAATCTCACCCCCTTCCCTTCCCAGGAGCTTTCTGGCTGTACTTCCCGGGCCCCATCACTTACTGGCAGCCATCGCTCTCTGCTCTGCTTTAGGCATTGCCCAGCTTTCGCGTGCACATGGCAATTGAAGACACTCGGGCTTCTTCCAGGGTGCCTTAGTCTTCCCGGTGACTTCTTTGCTCTTTAAAGAGGCCTTTTGCTGCAGACTTGCCCACAATATGAGGGCTTTAAAAAAATTTCTTGACTATGCTTGTATAGGTATTGCTTGTGGATGAAGGTAAAATCCTCACAACTTCTATCATTTCTCTGTTTGTCATGATGTTGCTTATTGGTTCAGCTGTAGAATATGAATACAAATGTACAGCAGCTATAAGAGAAGTTTGTATAGCATACAACCGAAACAATGCTACTAAGTGACACAGTGAATATGTAAACAGATCACTATAATTTCTGAAGCTTATTTTCCTGATAATTATGAAAGATAATAATAATAGCTCTCTGAGTAATATTTTATTCAGTTTAGCACAGCACTTGATACATGAACAAAGATCAATACATCCTTTTCCTTACTATTGTTTGTGAGGAGTTAGGGTGGCCCAGTGGTTAGGCACTTGACTGTGAACTAGAAGTTCAGTGAATCCCTCCAGCTGCTGCACAGGGGAAAGATCTGGCAGCTGGATCTGTAAAGGTTTACAAAGTTTTACTTCGTCCTCCATATGCACATAGAATAAACACTTTAGGAAAGAAATCATATTTACATTATTCTGCTCATTTGTTTTCCTTACATCTTTTAGGGATTTTTTTCCTTCTGTGCGACGTAACTTTTCTCTTTGTAGTGTCTACTATTATTCTGGAAGGTAAAGAGTGCACTTTCAGCAGTAATTTCTTGGTTGTTCTGTTCAAACCAGAATTTTGAAATTTTTTCCTTTTTTTGAAGTCTTAAAAACTATTGAATTAAAAAACTATTGAGTTTTTACACATTGTGTAGAGTACATATTATGTGTAATATTAAGAATGGCTCTGTATTCATTTTAGAAATTGTATTATTTGTCTTTTTGTTGTTGAGATGTTGAAGTTTTCTGTAAATTTTTGAGATTAGTCTCTTGTCCTTGATATTGCCAGAAAGACTTTCTTCTCAGTCCATGGGTAATCCTTTTATTTATTGGTAAAATATTTTGATGTACACGAATGTCTGATTATTTTTAAATAAATAAATAAAAATAAGGGCAACAAAAAGAATGAGATGACAAGAAAGAACATTGTCATTTTCAATGCTGACTACAATACCATTTTCCTAAACAATTTGAAGTTCATTCTCTGATGAAAGTATGGTTCTTGTGTGTGTGTGTGTGTGTGTGTGTGTGTGTGTGTGTGTGTGTGTTGCCAGTCCCTCTGAGGCCTGTGTGTGTGTGTGTGTGTGTGTGTGTGTGTGTGTGTGTGTGTGTTAGTCTGTGTAGACTCGAGAAACAAATTCACAGAAACCCATATGTATATAAGAGAAAGTTTTATATAAAGGGTAACTAACTGTACATTAATCATCCCAACCCAGTCCAGTGCAAGCCAATAGATTCGACATTAGCCCTTATGTCTGACACTGATCTACAAAGTCCTCCTCCATCTCACAAAACACATGCAACGATGCCGACTGCAGGAGGAAAGTGGATTCAGTGAATGTGTAAGCATCTCAGCGCTGGCAGGGGTCTCCACACGCTGCTCCAGCACTCAGGGCTGCATCTGGGTAGGTCCATGTGGCTTCTCAGAGAACCAGAAAGGCGAGGCTCATCGAGTCATTTATCTCTCAGCCCTTGTTTATCGGCCAGGTTGGCACAATAAACCTTAACTGTCACAGGGGGTTATACTCATAATTGTATTTCTTTTCTCTCCTAAAAATGAATAATCCTTTTAATAATTTTATTCTCAAAATTGATTCTATTTTCAATGAAAGGTTTGGAAACATTTGCCTTTTATTGTTTCAGCCACAATTTCCAAATGAACAATTTTTAATTATAAATTGTGCTTCTTCTTTAAACTCAGACCATTGCTTAGTATACTTGT